CACTCAATTGTTATACTCCTTTGTACAAACATGCATCAAGTTTGAAATAAAGTTGTTATTATTATTCATGATGATCACCACTGGAGCTTGAGGTAATCCAACCGAAGCTTCCACTGGCTTACAGGTCCACCTCTTTAAAAAAAAATTTTAATTAATTACACTAAGAGAAGAGCCAGAATATATACGGAAGGGGGAGGTGGGGGATGGGAGATGGTATTGTGACTTTTAATAATAATAAAACAGTAATATCTTTATTCCTATAAGTACATGTACAAGGTACGTATACAGGCCTAGCTGACATCAATGACATATTACTACATAGAAAGCCGCTCGTTATGCAGAGCATTTCGGGCAAATTAGGTCAGTTTTGTGCCAGGATGTGACCCACAACAGTCGACTAACACCCAGGTATGCATTATTACTGATGGGTGAATGTGGATAACCTGTGTATTGAAACACGCCCAATGTTTCCACCCCTTCGCAGGGAATCGAACCCAGACCCTCACTGTGCAAAGCAAAAGCTTTTGCCACCAAAGGCAATAAATGACATGCCCATGCACTCTGCCCTTGGTCTGGACTAATGGAATGCTGTGTTTATCAAGAACTGCAAGAAGCCCCTGTCACGTACAGTGCTAGTCACGGAATTATGCCGGGTGACCACCCCGGCATAATGCCATGACGAAAATCAAAGGCCTACCATACGGAGGGGTCTTTTTTCGTCAGTGCATTATGCCAAATAGCAGCCGTTAGCATGATGTCATGGTCTGCTGCCACACTCCACAGTGACTCCTCAGTGCTCACGTGGCTGCCATGGTGAGAGAAAGTGTTGCACTTTTGTCTCTCATCCACCCCACCTCTTGTCCAGAGTTTCTTTTGGTTTTGTGTCTATACAGTAGGGCTCCGCCTTATGGCATTTCGCTTTATGGCATTCCACTAATATGGACATTTCATATTATGACCTAAACTCGATATACGGCCCCCCCCACTGACTTTCTAATACGGTCACTGTGCCCTGCTTGGTTTGCTGTAATTCTCCATAAGCTCTGTAAGTACCATGTCTCTCCATTATGTCTAAAAAACTCCTAAATTTCAAGTGTATTTAAAAATTTCATATTTCATATTTTAAAGCAAAAGACTCATCAGGAGATGCAACATTCCCCAATGAAAAGCAGGGATGCAAGAGTACATCGAAAGACACCACAATAATTTGTCCGGGGTCCAAGATGTTCAACTGCCTCCCAGCCTACACAAGGGGGATTACCAATAGCCCCCTGGCTGTCTTTAATCCGTAAACGGTCCAATTTTAAATATATGTTTTTTCAACATTTGAAAGTATGTAAAAAAAGTAGATCTTCTTTTTGTTTTTTTACATTTGGAAAATGTGTAAAAAAACTTTGATCTACTTTTTTTTTGTTATATTTAAAAATATGTAAAAAAACGTAGATCTACTTTTGTAGCACTCCCATGTGAACGTAGATCTGCTTGGACCGTTTATGGGTTAAGAAGGCATTGGACAGGCACCTAAAGTCAGTACCTGACAACCGGGCTGTGGTTCACACGTCAGCTTGCGTGCGGCCAGTAGTAACAGCTGGTTGATCAGACCCTGATCCACCGTGAGGTCTGGTCTCAGACCGACCCGCAGGGCGTTGACCCCCGAAACCCTCTCCAGGTAAACTCCAGGTACCAGGTACCAGGTACTCTGATAATTATACTTATGTATACCTGTACCTAAATAAACTTACACACTGTGCTGGCATGCAGGTACACATTAAAATCAGTGTCTTATGTCTTAAGATGCCATATTAGTAATGATAATAATACTCAATAATAATCATCCAGTCTAATTAAATGTCATATATTATGTTAATATACACATTTTCATTAATCCATCAACGATAATTTTTCAAAGTATAATAAATGCGATACGTAACACATAAAGATGATAAATACACCCCACAATAGAATAAATTAGCATAAATATGAGACTTGTACGGGTGATGACAAGAATAACGTTTTCTCTAGTCCAACATAAGATAAAATGTGTTACTGGGGGTAACTGTAGAAAATTATTCCTTTCGTATGCCTTCACTCAGAGCAACACTTCTTCTAAAAATGGTATTACATGAGAATGGGAGTGTTCCTCTTTATTCTACTGTATCAACATAGAGACAACTTGTATACAATGTAACTCGTACAAAAACCAGACGCGTTCCCTTGGTTTGTTTACATAACTCTGTCCTGTCCTCTCTCATGTACTCGTTCTCTCTCATTTATTTGTTTTATCTCGTTTACTCACCTCTGACCCTACATTAAGACTACGAATATTTTAAGGTAAATAATGAGTAAACTGTATATGCATTTTATCGCTCTGGGATGCTTAAATGTCATAGAGTATTATGTATGGGTGGGGTGACCTGGCATGGCAGCCTGGCTGGCTACCATACTTACCACACTTGATTTCTTACAATAAATACTACTTATCTTACCATAGATTAAGACTGCAAATATTTTAAGGTAAGTAATGAGTGTACTATATGTGTATTTTACTTTTTTATTGCCTAGTTCTATTGCTAACTTAATATATATTAAGTGTAAACTTGTTATCTAGTTTTTATATGCATTTATAAGTGGAAAAAAAGGGTGTTCCACTTTACGGCGGTAGCCTGGAATCTAACCTGCCATATAAATGGGGCTTTAATCACAAACCTGCACACCAGGCAAAAGAAATAGTGGAGAATATTGGTGTGTGTGAGTGTTCAGTGAGGAACTGGGTGCAGCATTTTAAGGCTGATGGCAGTATTGAGTTACCATCTGCCAAACCTCAGCCTGGCCCCTTCAAGAAGGCATCTGCTCATACCTTAACTGTGTTAAAGTAGCAGTTAAGAGAGTACACCTAAGATAACTGCTAGAGAATTGAAAGAAAAGAACTCACATATTCTCTCAGAGGTGTCTGTAAGAACTGTTAACAGACGTGTGTGAGAACTGGGCTACAGTAGTCACCACCAGGTTAAGAAACCGATCCTCTCCAAGCCACAGAAGAAACGGAGGCTGGATTATGCAAAGAAATATCTTCATTGAAATTCTCAACAGTGGTCTGAAGTGCTTTGGAGTGATGAAGCAACCTTCACCGTCACCTGTAACTGTGGGGAACCGCAAGACCCACACTACACCTGTGGGACCACCAAACACCCAGACTTGCTCATGGTTTGGGGGTGTTTCAGTGCTCAGAGCATTGGTGAACTCACTGTGTGACAATTTACCTGAGGCATTTTGACAAGTGGGGGGCTATGGTTTTTATGCAGGATGGTGCACCTTGTCATACCACCAAATCTGTAGTTTAGTGGCTTAAGGACTGTGAAGTGAGATTCTTTAATGACTGGCCAGGCAATTCCCTAGACCTAAACCCTATTGAGAACCTCTGGTCAATAATGAAACATAGTTTACTCGGCAAGGATATCAGTTCCATCCCACGGCTGGAGGCTGCTCTACATGAGGCATGGAATAGACCTCCCAAAATCCTCAAGAATTTGTATGTGAGTCTTCCTACATGGCTGAGTGATGTGATTAAGTGTAAAGGACACAGCACCCAGTATTAAAACCTCAGTGTGCAAATATATATATTATAATCTATCATGGTATGTGTTTGTTTTGGTACATGTGTGGGGGAGGGGCGGCATAATGCCGTGACTAGCACTGTACCTTCAGCATTCTATGAAGAGGGAGCATGGACACCGGGGTCATCCCACACTCACAAAGGTGGTAGTAAAGCAATTGCAAAGAACTACAGATTGATAGCACTAACATCCCATACCATAAAAATCTTTGGAGGGGTTCGAAGAAGCAAGACTGCCATCCACCTAGATACCCATCAATTACACAACCCAGGTCAACACGGGTTTAGCGCAGGTCGCTCTTGCCTGTCCCAGCTACTGGACCACTATGACAAGGTCCTGGATGCTATAGAGGATAAACAAAATGCAGATGTAGTATACACAGACTTTGCAAAAGCCTTCGACAAGTGTGACCAAGGTGTAATAGCGCACAAAATGCGTGATAAAGGAATACCAGGAAAAGTTGGTAGATGGATCTACAACTTCCTAACAAACAGAACACAAAGAAAAACAGTAAAAAGAGTAAAGTTTGAGGCAGCTACAGTGAAAAGCTCTTCCACAAGGCACAGTACTCACTCCCACCTGTTCCTCGTCCTCATATCTGAGATAGACAGGGATGTAAGCCATAGCTCCGTGTTTTCCTCTGCGGATGATACCCGAATTGCCATGACAGTGTCCTCCATCAAAGACACCACAAGACTCCAAGTGGACACCAACCAAATCTTCAAATTGGCCACTCAAAACAATATGAAGCTCAGTGAGGAGAAATTTCAACTATTCACATATGGAAAACTTGAGGAAATTAAAACAGAATTAGGGTACACAAATTCTAACAATACAACAGAGTGAAAAAGTAATGTGAAGGACCTGGGAGTGATAATGTCAGAGGATCTCACCTTCAAAGACCACAACAATGTATCTACTGCATCTGCTAGAAAAATGAAAGGATGGATAATGAGAACCTTCAAAACTAGGGATGCCAAGCCCATAATGATTCTCTTCAAATCATTTGCTCTCTCTAGGCTGGAATACTGCTGTACACTAACTGCCCCCTTCAGGGCGGGCGAAATTGCTGATCTGGAAAGTGTACAAACAACTTTCACAGCACACACAAGTATGATAAAGCACCTAAATTACTGAAAATGGTTGAAGCCCCTTGATCTCTATTCCCTGGAATGCAGGCGAGAAAGACATGATAATATACACCTAGAAAATACTAGAGGGATTAGTGCCAAGCTTGCACACGAAAATCAGTCCTTATGAAAGCAAGACTCGGCAGGAGATTCTACATTCCCCCAATTAAATGCAGGGGTGCCACAAGTACACTGAGAGACAACACAATAAATGTCAAGGGCCCAAGACTGCTCAATTGCCTCCCAGCATACATACGGGGGAATTACCGATAGACCCTTGGCTGTCTTGAACAAGGCGCTGGACAGACACCTACAGTCAGTACCTAACCAGCCGGGCTGTGGTTCGTACGTCAGTTTGCGTGAGGCCAGCAGTAACAGCCTGGTTGATCAGACCCTGATTCGCCACGAGGCCTGGTCTCAGACCGGGCCGCGGGGGCGTTGACCCCCGAAACCCTCTCCAGGTATACCACCCCTCAAGGAAGGTTCCTTGATGTTGGTGAGGGGCTCTTGATTTAGGGAATTGGATCTGTGCTCCAGTTCCTTGAATTAAGCCTGAATGCCTTCCACATCCCCCCCAGGCACTGTATAATCCTCCGGGTTTAGCGCTTCACCCTTGATTATAATAATAATAATCCAGGTATACCAGGCCACGGCCACTGTTGTTGTTGTTGGGATTTTATAGGGCCACTGACAGCATACGCCGTATCAAGCCCAGTTTTCCAGCGTTCGAAAAAGGAACCTCGACCATAGTGGAAGGATCAAATCAATCAAATCAAACTTTATTCTCTATAAGGATTACAATGAGGGGGTTACAGATTTTGGTTATTGTGTGGTTTACATGTAATAATATAGTAATTACAGAGGGGGCCACTAGAACACCTAGCATGGCTAGGCATTTCGGGCAAACTTAGATTAATTCTTAACCCTAAATTATTACAAATTGTGGAGTAAGTTGACTAAATACTAAGTGACTAAATACTAGTTTGTGAGTTTAGCAATGTGGCACAATACATAGTTTCTATATTGGAGTATCACAGGCAAACTTGTGACTAGTTAGGAATCATTATTTTAAGATTAAGATACGTATTTCTGTGTTTATAGTCAAATGGGTGAGTGTAAGTGTGAACCACCAGGTGGTTTTTATGTAGTTAGTTGACGGGGTGTATCAGGGAGATAAGATGTTTTTCTAACGGTAGTTGGAAGGTGATTTTTTTTTTTTTTTATTTATTTTTTTCCCAAATTTTGTGCACCCCATACAGAGGTACAAAAAAAATACAGATAAGAGCAGTATGCCAAAGCCACTTATACTATGCATAGCATTACGGGCTTGCTTAAAATTAACTTAAGATTAACTAAGCAATGATTATTATTATTATTATAATCAAAAAGAAGCGCTAAGCCACAAGGACTATACAGCGCTGCACTAAGCAATGATGAAATCAGGATAAAACATTATGTAAACAGATAACTATAAAGCCAAGTGAGTTTTACAAAGACAGGTCATATGTTTGCATTCAGTTAGGTAGTGATTCTGTTAGGTAGTGTATTTAAAAATAATAAAGTTAGTTTGGTTTTAGTTTAAAAATTTATTGATATAATTGTGAGAAACATTTAAGATATACTTTTTTTAATGTTCAGTTATTCAGTATTTATTTGGTTTTGGGGTGAGTAAAGTAATCTTTGAGAAGGGGACTTGAATTTATAAACGGGTTTGTTTTTTCTTTTATATTTCGGGTAATGAATTCAGATTTTAGGGCCTTTTATGTGCATTGAGTTTTTGCATAGTGGGGAGATGGACACGGAACATCAAGAGTGATCTGTGCCTTGTGTTATGGTCATGTGTTCTGTTGAGGTTGGCAAGGAGATGTTTGGGGGAGGGTTAATATCAGATTTAAAGTGTTCTATGTATGTAATAGGTGCAGTAATAAGTATGGATGTTTTGTATGGTGAGTAGGTTTTGTGTATTGAATTTGGGTTGGGAGTGTGTGCCTGCAGTGAGAATTTGTTATCATTTAACTGCAGTGTCTGCAGTTCTAGAGTTTTCAGGTGGGGGTTCCAATTTTAGGGCCTTTGACATATATTGAATTTTTGTAAAGGTTTAGTCGGACACGGGGAATGTCGTAGAGATGTTTGTGTCTGGTGTTAAGAAGTCCCCGGGGCCCCTAGGCTATTCAGTTTGGCGGGGACCTTTGAGTTACGGGTAAGCGAAGCGACCCCTTCCAGCTTGGGGGGGGGGGGGGGGGTGTCGGTGTGAGCCTGTTTAAGGTCTAATTAAATACATTCTGGCTATTTAGATTAAATTTAATTGGGAAAGTACATCAAGACAACCAAAACCATTTACCAACAGCCATTATAACTATCTTGTTAAATCATGGGTGGCCCGGTGGCCTGGTGGCTAAAGCTCCCGCTTCACACACGGAGGGCCCGGGTTCGATTCCCGGCGGGTGGAAACATTCGACACAGTTTCCTTACACCTGTTGTCCTGTTCACCTAGCAGCAAATAGGTACCTGGGTGTTAGTCGACTGGTGTGGGTCGCATCCTGGGGGACAAGATTAAGGACCCCAATGGAAATAAGTTAGACAGTCCTCGATGACGCACTGACTTTCTTGGGTTATCCTGGGTGGCTAACCCTCCGGGGTTAAAAATCCGAACGAAATCTTATCTTATCTTATCTCTTATGCATTTTAAAGAGAATAAACTCAAGACAGCATAGTATTACTAGATTAGGCTATTAAAGTAGTGACATCATGTAATTATTATATTCAGCATAACCACTACAACACTATTATTCCTTTTATAAATCACTGACCATTATTGTTATCATTGCATCATGCATAAGACTATCAAATCATATAAACTCAAGAAAGTAAAGAATTGTTTATTTTCACAGGCACTTCTTAAATAAACTTTTTTCTGGATTTCATATTGGCAAAATCATCAATTATATTCTGAAAATCAATATTTCTTGTTAGATCATATATTTGTACGCTCGTGTGCACATGTCCGTGCGTGCGCCCTCGTGTGTATGTGCGCGCGCGCACTAGTGTGGGTGTATGATCCACTTAATATTTGTATTTATACTCATTACAATTGTGACAGGTGTGGACGTATCAGTGGTTCATTACTTTGTAATTTGTTCATGACTGTAACCATGTATAGGAGTGAAGCTGATTCATTACCTCTGTAACTTGCCATGATTAGTGACCAGATCTACCTGGAGTTCATTACCTTTGTAACTAGTTCAGCTATCATAACTTTGGGGTCAGTCACTGGACCCATTATGTACCTTTGTAATCTTTTGACTACCGCCCACAGGATGGGTATGGGGTGCTATAAAGATATTAAACTAAGTGTGTGTGTGTGTGTGTGTGTGTGGGGTGTGTGTGTGTGTGTGTGTGTGTGTGTGTGTGTGTGTGTGTGTGTGTGTTTTGTGACTCAACAATCAATATTTGCACCAATAACTCATTACAGTTGTGACCGGGTGTGGAAGTGTGAATTGCTCATTACTCTATAATTTGTTCATGATTGTAGCCAAAGTATAAACGTAAGTAACCATTCTACAGAATTCATTACCTTTGTAACTTGTGAGCTCATTACCTTTGTACCTAGTTCAGCTATCAAACTTTGGGGGCCCAGTCCCTGGACCCATTACGTACCTCTGTAATCTGTAAATACCTTTGTAACTTGTCATGATTGTGACCAGACTTACCTGGAGTTCATTACCTTTGTAAATTGTGAGTTCATTACCTTTGTAAATTGTGAGTTCATTACCTTTGTAAATTGTGAGTTCATTACCTCTGTAACTTGCTCAGCTATCAAAACTTTGGAGTCCAGTCCCTGGACCAATTATGTACCTCTGTAATCTTTTGACTACCGCCCACAGGATGGGTATGGGGTGCATAATAAACATATTAAACTAACTAAAATTACACAATTTGTCTTGGCTCATTGTTGAACGGAGCTGGTTTTTCACTCTTTTCAAAACAGAAAATGAACGTTCTTCTTCACAGTTAGTAGCTGGAAGTGTTAGGTAAAGGTGATACACTATGTCAACATTAGGGAAGGTTTCTGAGATACCTGCATTTCTTAAATGTTTCAAAGCAGCTGAGGGAGCACATTTTTCAGGTGGAGCTTTAATCTGATTCATATACCCAAAAAATGAACTATTTCTTCAACAAATGTGTCCTGAACATCTGCTGAAAGGTGTTGTTGCAACTTAATGCAGCTTCTCTCAATTTTGCATCTGGCATAGTAGTAATTTTGAACAGAAATCCAAACTTGTGATTGAGATTCTGGTATAGATTTCTTTTCTTTTCACCAGTTCTGTAATCAGCGAAGTGAGCTTACAAATTCCACTAAGCCTGCATAGAGGTTAGCACAAGTAGCCATTTCAATTTCAATTTTCTGAAGTGTCTTGTTCGTGGCATTTAACCGTTCCAGTATACAGTCCCAAAGCACACAGAGTAAGGCCAATTCAAAATCTTCCAATTTTGATGCTAAGCTGGCTGCTTCGCTTCTTGTAGTTGCTGTCTGGTCTTCATCCTCTGCTATTTGGATCAAAGCAGAACGTATTTCAGCAAGGCTGTCTTTCAAAGCATGTGTTGCATCATGCTGCGCTGACCACCTTGTTGTTGATAATGATTTGATGACATCTCCATGAATGGTTGACTTGAGTATACTCCACCGATGCGTTGAAGCAGAGAAAAAATTAAAAGAGTGCTTGTAAAAGTCCAAAAAATGAAACTGCAGCGACACACACTCTGCAGCACATGACCCAACAAGATTAAGAGAATGTGCTGAGCCAGGGCACATATTCAGCAAGTGGGTTGATTTGCTTGATACGGCTTGCAATCCATTATATTTACCCGACATGTTACTTGCATTGTCGTAGCTCTGGCCATGGCAATCCATAATAGAGAGATCATGTTCAAGCAGTGTATCCAGTACTACATTTCATCATTGTTTCTCCATCATGCCTGAAAGAGGAATGAATTTTATAAAGCGCTCTACAGGCTTACCACTGGAGTCGACAAAGCGAACAATGAATGTCAATTGATCTGTATGTGAAATATCTGGTGTTAAATCTACACTTATTGCAAAGTATTTTGCAGTTTTCACACATGCTATGATGTTATGAGGACCTTCTTAGTCATCAGTTCAATATAAATTCATTGCATATAGTAGATGACATTTAAGATACAGTGCTCTTCCTGCATTCCCAAGGCGTGACACATGATCTGCTAAGAATGGATCGAATTGTGCTAACAGTTCTATGATCCTAGGAAATTGCCATTGTTTTCGAACCAAAAACTTCATTTTCTCCACGGAAAGCAAGTCCTCTTAGAGCTAAGAATTTTACACAGCAACAACTCTTTCTAGAACTTTTCTCCAATAAGTGTGTTCTTTTCAGTTTGATTTTCCTAATGAGAATCCAATAAGCCTTTTTTCTGTGCACGAAATACACTGGCTAAAATGCAGCTCCTGTGAGTGGTGCTGTTTTCATGTTCCTCGAAACGCTTGGAATTTTTCCAGTCATTGAACCCCTGTGTGAAGGTATTTTCTTTGGTAGAAAATAGCTTGCATGCTGAACAGTACACTTTTCCTGAGCTTTCGAGTATAC